GGATTTGGCTACGGATTTCGAGATGGTCCTCGGGCAAAAGATCTTTGTCTTGGAACGCTCTGCACAACATATCTTTGTTTTCTTTTTTTTGTTTTGTTTTTTTTCTTTTTTCCTTTGGATGTTTAGTGTTGGTTGGCCGCTTGGTTTAGGCCCTGTCTCTTATACACATCTAGATGTGTATAAGAGACAGCTGTGACTCTGTGTGCGTGTGTGTGCGCTCAGTGTGTGTCTGTCTGTGTGTGCGTGGCCCCCAAGTACGTGTGATGCAAACACTCAGACCTGTGTCCTGCACCTGCCACACTCTCCCTGCCCTTCATGCTAGCGAAGCAAACTCGGCACACATGCTCTCTTTGCATCGCAATCCTCCCCGCCGCACCTCAGATCAGGACAGCTCCACATCTTCACGCTGTCGGCGAGCGGAAGTTTATTTCCGCTTCCTTTCCTCCCTCCCGCTCTCCTTTCGTCCTTCCTCCGTCGAACTCCCTCATCTCCTCTCCTTGACGCTCTTTGCATTGGCTCCCTCTCCCTCTCCCTCTCCCTCTCCCTCTGTCGTTCCCACTTCGTCCTGTCGTCCTTGACTTCCTTTCCGCGTCTCTCTCCGGCGCTTCTCCCTCCCCCTCCAGACCTCTTCCCCTCCTGCCCCCTCTCCTTCTCCCCTGTCTTTCCCTCTCTGCTTTTTCCTTTTTTTCTCCCTCTCGGTCGCATTCCCTCTCTTTGAAACGATACAGAAGATAACCATGTCCCCTGCGCATTCAAGCATGACACGCGTAGATAGAGGAAAGGCCCCAATTGAAAAAACGAAAAACATACGGACGGCCCTTTTCTTTAAGTCTCTTTCTAGTGAACTTTCGCCATGTGGCCTTAAGTGGTGTCTGTCGCGTCAGCCGGCTATCACACACGCACTTACCCACTCACACGCACATACACTCCCTGACTCACTGACTCGCTCGCTCACTCACTCACTCACTCACCTGTCTCTTATACACATCTAGATGTGTATAAGAGACAGGCAACAACCAGCCTATTGATTTTCCAATCTTTTTATTCCCATACTGCACTCATCACTTGATCAATTAACCGACCGATCGGCTAGTTGATTGATCA